GGGAAAAAAAAAAAAAAGAAACTAAAATGGATTATGCAGTCTGAGAGAAAAATTTATGAATTCCTTTTTCAAGCTGAAAATCTTTCTTTTTCTGTATATTGTAACTATCCTTCTCAGTTGTCACGGTTTTAAAACAACCGGATGTATTACAGTCTAGGAGTCAACAATATTGAAAATGGACCTTTTGAGTTACACTTACACAGGACGTTGTCTTTATTATATTTTTTGCTTTCACGTGTACCACTCCTCCCTTTTCACTGAATCTTTTAATTTATTAGATTGCGTAGGAACTTGTAAGTCGTAAGAGTGATCTTTTGATTCAAGGATTATTATCTTGTTCAAAATATATGCTCCTGAGTATTGATGCACACGTCTACTCTTGCCCAAGTTCTTAACAGAAAACTTTGAGAAAATATGAATTAAACTCTAATTTCTAAATTCAATAAGTATATGTAATGGCCTCAATTTGGAATCAAATTTCTAATATAACTTTGATTGTGCAGTGATCCCCGTCTCAGATGTCATAAGAATTCGGACAGGTAATCATTTTCCTCCAGGAATTGCCAAAATAACAAAAGAATAACTTTCTGCAGTCAGAATTTCTACAGAAGTTTTGAATTTGATTTTTTTCAGGTGAACGTGGGGAGCAGGCAGAGAGGATGAGTGGGGGGCGAAGTGACATGTTATCTTCTGTATGACTGGTTGGAGCGAAAGATCATCTGCATCCGCATTTGTCATATGGTTCTCTCACCCATTCTCCTTTTCCCTAGTCACCTGTGGAATTTGGAATGCATTACGATGCTGTATTATGCTTTTAATATTTTGTACTTTGCTGTTGGAAGATGTATGACAGACAGTATTGTAAGTGTAGTGTAGTTATGTGGTGAAGAAAATTGTGAAAAAATAATTAACAAATGCTGAATTTTTTTTTTTTTTTTTACAGTTAACTAATGCTGAGTTACTTCATAGTCAATATGAACTTGGTAATATTTGATCGTGGAAAAACCAATCTGGTAGATGGGTTGGATCGGATTCTGACCGGGACGGTACAAATATAAAAATCAAGAGAACTAAAACTACCTACTAAAATAGGTGATGAATTAGAGGAAAATAAGATGATGCATGTGAAAATTGGAAAAGAGAAAGAAAGAGGTGTGTAAAAAGAAAAAATAGTAAATTAAAAGTTAGAGATGTAAAATTAAAAATTTAAAGAATAAAATAAAATTATGAATATTTTAGAATTTAAAAAAAAATAATAAAGAAGGTGTACTTATTGAAAAAAAATATATATATATATCATTAGTCTTTTAATATATTTTGAACTCCTGCTATCGGTCCCAACCTCACAAAACATCTTAAACAAATATCGAGGCCAATAAACCGGTAAGCTCGTTCTGTACTATTTACTATACGTCAAAGAAATATATGGTTTTATTAAAGTCACCTGTTATTGGGTGGCTTCAAATTACCTATTTTCTACTTGAAAGCGTTCTTGTCTACGGCTTCTCAATAAATAGCATCGCTACTTCAACGTATATAATTGCGATCATGGCTGTCACCTAGGATTTTTCATTCACATTCCATATTCTCCTTTCATTATAATATTTTCTATATCATGCTTCTATAGTCAATTTGATATTTATTAATAATTAAATTATGACATTATTAAATTATTTGTCACTATTTAAGTGATTTGGTAACATAATATATAGGAATAAAAAGTTGAAAAATAATATATTAAAAACATATTTATTTGTATATATTTTAATGAGTGATTAATATTTATTTTATTAATAAATTATATATATATATATATATATTTCAAATGTAATATTATTAAATGTTTTATCATTTGAGTATGAATAAATATTAAAATTAAACGATTAATAAATATTAATTTAATAAAAATATTCAAATTCTATATTTTTAAAATTAAAAGGATTAAATATCTCTATTTTAAAATATATAGATAAAAATTGTATATCGATAAAAATAAAAGGAATAAACTACAATTTATTTATCAATTAATAATGTTAGGGTAGATTGAACAATTTTTGTTAACTAAAAAATATTTAAATTTGAGAGATTATAAAAAAGAATTATCACATATTTAAAAGATAAAAATATAATTAAGTATAATATTTTTCAAAGACCGGACTAGTAGTATATAAGTCATTCAAAGGACCTTTAAAAAAAAACTAATTTAAAGGGAGTTCGGTAGAATTGGCCTAATAATAAGAGAATCTTTACCAAAATAATATTTTTTTTTAAAAAAATTACAAGATTAACAACTGTGCAGGTTTATTTATCACACTAGAATCATTTACTGTGCAGGCTCAGAATTCGGTTCCCGGGGAACCGAATTCTGAGCTTCAAAGTGTTATTTTTTTGTTTTTTCTACTCAGAATTCGGTTCCCGAGGAATCGAATTCTGAGTTGTTTTAATATTTTTTTTTCGTGTTTGTGGGGGAATTTTGGGAAGATGTTGGAAGTGGAACGGCCCGTTCCGAAAGCAGAACGGGCCGTTCTGCTTAAAGTCACAGAGTCATTTTGTTGCAATTAAAACGGGCCAAGAACGGGCCGTTCCAGAATTAAGAATTAACGGAAAAATAGACCCATGAAACGGCCCGTTTTAAAGAATTTTTGTAGTTATTTTTTTTAACCTGGAACGGGCCGTTCTTGTTTTAGAACGGCCCGTTCCAAAATAGAAATTTACACATGTTTTTGAATGTGGAACGGCCTTGGAACGGCCCGTTCCAGGAGCTGTTTTAACGAAATAAAAAGTGTTTTGGAACAGGCCATTCTGGTTTTGGAACGGCCCGTTCTGGGCAAACAGTAAAAACGCTGGTTTTCCTATAAATAGACCCTTTCCCCTTCATTTTTTTCATGCGATTTCAGCTTACCTTCTCTCTTTTATTCCTTCTTTAGTTCATGTAAGTAGTCATCACTTTTTACTTCAATTATAAAAAATAATTTTATGTATAAGTATTGTAATGTCATATCATTAGTTCATTGAAGTAGTCATCACTTTCAAAGTTATTCATCTCAACATTAATGTCAAATCATGATTTAATTGTGAGAGGGGATTAAAATTGAGTAATTTTAAAAATTGGAGAATCAAAATTATGGATCGATAATTATAAAAGACCAAAAGTACATTTTAATTAGGCATGGTAACGGGGTGGAGCGGGAGTGGGTTTTACGTTCCCCGTCCCCGCTCTCGCAAATTTAAACTGCCCTGTCCCCGATCCCGATACCCTCCTGGGATAAAATTTGGGTCCTCATTCCCGCCTCTGGCGGGGTTCGAGTTTGCGCACCCGGCTCCTATTTTTTTTTCTTTTTTGTTTATAATAAATATGAACAATTTAAAAAAATAAAAGAAAAGTAAAATAATATAAAGTTTTACATATTAATATTTCTAATTTTGGTTTATATATATATAAAAATAATTTTTTAATTATATCATTAAGCGGGG